AAAAAAAAATCCAATTCTGATTGGTTCTCGCTCATGGAGGCCGAAACGAGTGCACCAAGATGGCGGTACCTCGAATGTGAACAAGAATAATGAAAATATCACCTAATTGTGGTTTATCAAATGTAAATTGTCATTTCCATCGGTCCAAAATGAAAAGAGAATAAGAAATTATTCACAAAACAATCTCATTTTCTTTTTAATTGATCAATTTGTTGATGTTGTTGTTTTTGTGTGACAGACATCGCAGGATTCCTGATCCTTGTCCCTCAATATCGTTCGTTTGGGTGCACTCGTTTCGGCCTCCATGGCCAGCCAAGGCCGGCTGTCAGTCAGCTGATAATCGAGTTGTCTTAACTCTGGGTATAAAGGGACTCTAATTATGTCCAGGGACGAGTTCTGTAGGACGCCGTATATATTCATCCATGACGCCGTTCTGTTGTGAGCGGGTGATTGCAGCGCATTCTCGCGTAGGATCCTAGTCAACTCAGAGGATCCTTCCCCCCGAACCTCGACTCATCCATCGCCCGCTCCAAAAGTGAGGTTAGGCCGGAGATTGAAAAATAACACATAGGGCGGCTAAATTCTTGAAAAATAAGTATATTTTTGGCGTTTTTCGACCCCTATCGATATCAGGCAGCTGATTGCATGGTATTGATCGGTGAAAAATTCGATTTTTTGCAGTTATACGCGATCCTACGGATTTTAATGAAGTCCAACAACTGATAACAGCAGTGAGTTGCAAGGATCCTACGCGAGATAGTAGCACTAGTACCTGCTCACGAATTTTTACATTGACTCTTACGGGAGTCCAGGGTCCTATAGAACTGGTCCCTGTTATGTCATGCCGAAACCGAAAAACATTTGTTGGTAAATAATGTGAACTACCACTGTGATTTTCTTGTTGAAACCGCAAAAAATGGGAGATAAAGCTGAAAAATTGGCCGCAGCGAAAAAGACGGTACGTAGATGATTCTTCTTAACTTTATGATTCACGCATCCGCATCCCACACTTTCTCCGAAATTTATTTCTTGTTTTGTTTATCCTAACCTTACCCAGCCACGTCATATCTGTCTGTTCATACACTCGTCATAATTACTTTTCCGAACTAACGATTCAATCTCTCTATCTTTAGAGATGAATAAATTCCTCGAGTCACCACTCCCAACGGACCTAGTAGCGAGTCGATTATTGAAAGTTTAAAGCAGCCTGATGAGACATTGAAGTGCGATATACTGCATGGTTAAGATAGAGCTATGTCTTGTCTTGTCTTGTCGTGCTGACATAGTTTCAAAAATCACTGTCCAATCAGATTTCAGATCAGATTTAATTTATTAATAAAAGAAAAAACATAATACAAATTAAGTTAAGGCCACTACAAAGTAAAAAATGCCAAGAGGTCTAGCCTCGTGCGGCAAAAGTAGTAAAACATGAACTAATTGTAAAAGAAATAAAAGAAATCATAGACGATTGGCACCACTGCCTACTTAGCTCAGTCTTCTAAGAACTTAGATCAACTTAGTGACAATATAACAAGGTATAAAACAAAAGAGAAGAAAAAGAAAGAACACATTAAAATTTAAGACCCTAATTACTGATTTAGACATGAAGGCATAGAGAGACTTTGGATTGCTGCTCGTTTTAGGAAACGTTACCTAGCCACTCTCTGAGAAGACTGGGTGCACTCAACCGGCCCTCGGTGATCAACCTACGTCTGAAGGCTTCAGGCAGTAGGTTGAACACCAAAGGCAAATTGTAGGCAATATTTTTCTCAGAGAGTGCTAGTCGTATGGTCGGTAGAATTGCTCGCCAATCACCTGCTCTACTGACCCCAGCTCTTGTGCATGCTATTTGAAAGTTGGGCATCTCTGATGGGAGCAGATTTAGGAGTCCCTTATAGTATAACTGTTTAAAGGTTGGGACATTTAAGAGGGATAGCGGTTCTTCGGAGGGGTATCGCCTAGGTAGATTCAATACAACTTTAATCGCACTTCTCATTAAGTAATATAATTATTGGTTTGAGAATGGTGTCAAAGGCTGCACCGTATACTTCTATTCCATAGGAAACTGTAGCTTGGTATAACGCAAAGTAAACCATGCGTAAGTTTTCGACAGAGAGGTACTTACGAAGGTTAAGCAGACAATAGATGACAGATTTTAGTTTTGCAACCATGGTTTTAACATGGGAATTCCAAGCTAGTTTTTGATTGATAACAACTTTCAGGTATCTCCACTCGTCTACCTCCTTCATTTGAACACATTTACAGCCTATGCGGTTACAACTAATATGATGGTATTTTATTGATCTATCTATTTCATTTGGAACAAGCTTACAGGAGAATTTAATGTAGACGGATTTTTCTAGGTTGAGGGTTAGAAGATTTGAGGAGAACCAGGGTAGAATGACAAATTGAAGGCTATCTGATACCTTTTTAAATACTTCCTCCCATGTATCGCCCCAATATACAATGGATGAGTCGTCCGCAAACATGGTTAATAGCGCTTGATAGAAATCATAGTTACAGAGTTCATTTACATAAAGTAGAAAGAGTAGCAGTCCGAGAATTGAGCCTTGCCCAACTCCTAATTCAATTTCTTCAACAGAGCTATAACTTTTCAATTTGACAACTTGGGTGCAATTAGACAGGTAACTTTCCATTAATTTGAGGGGAATACCCCTGATACCATAGGCATTAAAATCCATAGCATAAAAAAATCCATACCATAATCCATAGCAAAAATCCATAGCATAAATCCATACCATAGGCTGAATCAGCATTACTCAGTGAAATTAAAAATTTCATCCTTCATCTGCCCAGCAAAAAAGTATCAGGACTGGACATTATAACAATTAAAATACTAAAAGAACTAACAAACACAACCAGAGCGTAGTTAGCATCTCTATTCAACGAACTGCTAAGATTGAATTATTTTCCAGATAATGGGAAACTGCGGTCATACACCTCATCCTTAAGCCAACTGCAAACACAGCAAGTGGGGATCTGCAAGTGGCTCATCGGTTACATCGGTGAGCGTGCAAACTGCACGGGCCGCGCAGTTTGCACGATCAACACTCAACACAGCGGCACCAATGTGCCACTTGCAGGTCCCCACTTGCTGTGTGTGCATGCAATCGGCTTTAAGGATGTTAAGCCAGTCAATCTTCCACCATCATAAAGACCAATCTCCCTAAGTACTGCCCGAAAACAGAATTTTACACTAGTACCCAAACCTTTTCCCAGAACACCAATTTGGATTTTACCCTAACCATTCAACAATAGGGCCAATATACAGGGTAGTAGACCAGATAACCCAATCTATCAAGGAAAAAAACACAGTGCTACAGTCTTCCTAGGTGTAAAATCAGTCTTGGTTTAATATGGCACACCGGTCTACTGCTCAAAAGTAAAAATCTGATACCTAAGTAACAGGGTGCGTGTAAGCTTGAAAAGTGCTTGATTTTAAAAGAAAAAAATTCAAGGCCTTGAAAGTGCTTGATTTTTTTGGAGAGTGCTTGAAAACGTGCTTGAATTTCTCAGATCCACTTTTCGGAGGTCAAATGAGAAAGCATTCGACTTTTCAGACGTACGTTGGAAAGTATTAAAACGTGTTGAAACTGAAACGAGAATTACTCTGCTGAGTTGCCTGCTCAGTGTTTCGTCGCTGCAAGACAAGTGAACGAAAACGACAAGAGGGGATGTAGGCCTACGTGCGCCGTTGTGTCGGGGGCATGGCAACAGAGCGGAGTCAGTTTCGACGATACTCTTGGGAGGGGATGAAGAAGAAGAATTATAGAAAGCTGTCGCCTTTGCACACTATGAGCCTTATAAAGAGAAGTCAAGAGTTGATGAGTTTCATTTTAACTTTATCGACAAAGATGAGTATAAAACTTTATGGAGAGTTGTCAAAATATTTCTACTATTGAGTCATGGACAAGGATCAGTGGAGAGAGGTTTTAGTATAAACAAAAACCTAGAAGTTGAAAATTTAAAGGAACAATCTTACATAGCACAGCGTTATGTACATGAGTTTACTGATGAAATGGAGAGCTTATCCAGTATTGTAATAACCAAAGAGTTAAGACAAAGTGTATCAGGTGCTCACAGTAGATTTAGAGGAAGGAAAGAAAATCAAGGCTCTCACAGCTATTAAAAATGAAAAGTCTGAAAAAACAAAATCTCTACAAGAGAGAAAAAAACGCTTATGTGAAGATGTAAAGACCTTAGAAAAAGGCGCAGACGACCTGGCAGAACAAGCTGAAATGAAGCAAGATCTTTCATTAATTGATAAGTCGAATAGTTTCCGCCAAAGTGTCAAAAGAAAAAAAGAAGAGTTGGCAATCGTTGAAGGAGAAATTTCGAAACTCTCTAAACAGTTGTGAAGAAGAACAATAAGTCTCGGTTGAAATCTATAACTTTTAGTGTATTTTCCGAAGAAAATACACTATTGCATTCTCCCATGATGTCGGACCCAGACCCGAGACCTCGTGAAGAGCACCGATCACGGGTCGTAGATCACGAAAATATATGCCATTCAAATTCATGTGTATATACATATGTATATAGGAAATTTACCTTATTTATTCAGCTTGCAGCCATAAAAAATCGAAACATTAGTTCCTACGCATCCGCAACGTTTCGCCCCGCATGGGGGGCATCCTCAGGCAGGCACACATTATAACTTAAAAACTATTCATAAAACTGATCGATTATCCACGCGAAATGTTAAAATCGTCGAATGTCTACTCGGAAAAATAAAAACTTTTAAAAACACGAGAACTAAAACTACAACGGTGGCCACCACGAAACTCCGACTCGTATAACTGCTTGAAAACTGACTATAAACAAAGAGAGCCCGTCACCGCGAGGAGTAAATAGATAGCACACGTAAACAATCAGAAGAAAGCACTGTACGCCGTGCCCAGTACATCGGTGTCAGTTCTGAAATTAATGGAGTTTGAGCACCGTTTAATCTGTACGGCTTCATGATACAGCCTTGCCCTGAAATTGGGTTCCCTGACAAGTACTTCCGGATTTTTGAAGTTAAAACTGTGCTGCTGTTCTTGGCTGTGTTGGTGCAAAGCAGTTTTCTCCTTTTTGTCATACTTGTGTGACCGTATTCGTTCCCCTAGGTAGCGTTTGGTATGACCTATATAGGCAACATTGCAATCCAGACAGTTTATCTTGTAAACAACACCGGAGGTCTTTTCAGTTGGTACTGTACTCTTCAATTTCGAGAAAAACCGTTTATTCGAATTTGGGTTACTGAAAACTGGAAAGAAGTTATAGCTTATAGAAGTTATAGTTATAGTTGTGAGCAATTTATTTCAACGCGCCTACAAGTTATCAGATAAACAATACCGCCAGGAAAGCATGGATAGAGCACGTACGTTGCTTTTAGGAAATGGCTATCCACCTACTCTACTGGACAAGATGATGCGTAAATGCAAGTATATTTGCGAGAAAGAAGAAAATAAAATTTCGAAGGAGAAAGTAGATGTTGGCAATGTCGTGAAAATGCCGTATATAAGGGGACTCAGTGAAAAATTGAAAAAGTGCTGGAAGCCCTATAACTTCTTTCCAGTTTTCAGTAACCCAAATTCGAATAAACGGTTTTTCTCGAAATTGAAGAGTACAGTACCAACTGAAAAGACCTCCGGTGTTGTTTACAAGATAAACTGTCTGGATTGCAATGTTGCCTATATAGGTCATACCAAACGCTACCTAGGGGAACGAATACGGTCACACAAGTATGACAAAAAGGAGAAAACTGCTTTGCACCAACACAGCCAAGAACAACNGGTCAAATCTTGTCCACTCGATAACTCGAGCGAAAATGGATATTTTGAGCTGAAATTTTTACGGGTGGTAGTTCTCCCCTAGGACCGGTTTGGTATTGAATTTGAGCTAAATCGATCGAGCCTTTTAAAAATGGCGAGCTTTGAAAGTTTTAGGCGAGGGGTGCGCGGCATGAGGGGAGCCAGCCAAAGCAGGGCCGCACAGTGGGTCGAGGGAGAAAGTTTTTGGACAAGCTGATCGTCGCACAGTGGGTCAGGGGGAAGAAGTTTTTGGACAAAATTTTCGTCGCACAGAGGGTCAGGGGAAGTTTTTGGACAAAATTTTCGTCGCACAGTGGATCAGGGGTAAGAAGTCTTTGAACAAGCTTTTCGTCGCTCAGTGGTTCAAGGGAAGGAAGATTTTGGACAAACTGCACGTCGCACAGTGGGTCAGGTGAAGATAGTATTTGGAAGAACTGTTCGTGGCACAGCGGCCCACAAAAATCCCACTTCGGGAAGTACACTTTCTTCCCGCGGTGGATGCGCGGGACACTTAAAAAGAAGAAAAACTAAATGTGCAGACGACTCTGAAAAGACGCGCGCGAAGCGCGCGTCCTGGGGGGGCTTGGCTGGGGGAAAACTGCGTTCTCTATCCATCGTCATTCAAGCTTGCCACAGCGTTTGTTGACACTTTTTCATATCAGACATTACATGAGGATTGTTGTTGCAATCTGGCGACATGAAGTCCTTATTCAATCAATGTCTCCAACAGTGTAAACGTAAATCCAAACTCCAAAGATTGATAACTCCCCGCCCCCGCCTCTCCCTTCGGAAAATACATTCTTCCCTCGGTGGACGCGCGGTTCACTTAAAGGACAGAACAACTGAGGCCGGACCTCAAACTAAAAAACGCGCGCGAAGCGCGCGTCCTGGGGGGGGGGGTTTGAGGGGGCTCGCTCCGCGCCGGTTTTTTTTTCTTATTTCGTCCGGTTTTTTAGTGTTTACAAATACTCTTTTTTCAAATGATGTGCCGTTCCATACTCCAGACATACTCCATACATGTAGCTTCAAATTAAGAAATCCCACTTTTAAAATTCAAATATTTTTACAATAGTGAAAGACTATCAGAAAACATCTTGCTTCAGCTCTATCAAGAATGAATCTTCAATTTTGAGCTTCTTGTCCAAGTACCCTACTATTCTCATGAATTTAACCCATCGGATAGCATGCAGATTTTCTATTAACTCTTTCATAAGTTGCATCATCTTCAGCCCATCTTATACCTATCGATATCCATCACTTATTAATGATTAACTTTGTCTCAATGAATATTAGGGTAAGATATTTATTTATTATTATTAATTTTTTTTTTATACTTTTAAACCAACGTTTTGAATAAATTGGAATAAAACATTCAGGTGTAAGTATGGATGGGTAGTTGATCGAAAACTCATGCGGCGAGCCAGGATTTTACTTTTTTTGCCTAGGATTTAGAGGTATTTACTTACTGGGTTGTCAGAATTGGTACTGACACTTGGGATAGTTTTTTTATTTATACATCAGTGTATTTTTTAATTAGAGGAAAATACTCATTTTAGTTGGTTGTTGATATCTGTCTCGCTATTTGGAGTTTTTATGCCAAAGGTCCCTTGGAGAAATTTCTTGAAACTCGCTCAAAATTGTTTCTAAAAGGCTCTTGAAAGTGCTTGAAAATTCAGAAAAATGTGCTTGAAAAGTGCTTGAATTTTTAACACTAAGGCTGTATGAACCCTGAGTAAGTATTGCCTAATTCTAAAATCCTACAAGACAAATCCGTAAAATCCGAGAGAAAAGGACCCCGCACACCTCTGATGGGAAAGTGCACCATGAAGAATCCTTAATTTTTTTATGGCATTCGAATCTCCTTAAGACGCTGATCCAAAGCAATTTTTGCGCAACTTTCTATGATGCACCGTTTTCGCAAAAAAACGGCCAAGAAGATTCAATTATTCTGCGATGAAGAGCTGGAAAGTCTCTTCATTTCAGCCTTTGAGAGAACGGTCGACTGTGTGTCAGCAAGGAAATCAGGGGAACTCCAGCGCCAAGCGGCAGTCTTTTCTCGGATTCCGCACGCCGTTCTGCTTGACCATCCAAATCAGTTTCTCTCTCTCTCTCTCTCCCTCTCTCTCTCACTCTCCCGCTCTATTCACCTCTTCCTCATGTCTCTAAAGCGAATGCTTTGTTCTTTTTGATTCATTGTCGCCAAATAATTGAATCTTCTCGGCCGTTTTTGGCAAAAACGGTGCATCGTAGAAAGTTAACGCAATGATTACCTACTTTTAATCAGCATCTTGAGGAGAATCAAATGCCTTAAAAAAATTAAGGATCCTTCATGGTGCTTTTTCCCATTAGGGGTGTGCGGAATCCTTCACAATAAGACAAGACGGTCAACCATCCTCAATCTTTGACCAATTATCACTTAAATCCGTCGAAAAATACCCCCTGAAACCTAAAATCTCGTCTACAATGCTGTGACGTCACGCGACAGGATTGAACCTGTTCGGCGTGGTGCCCGTGAACAACCTCGTATCCCCAATGCAGTAATATAGGGAGAAACAACTTTTCTTTATTTTAGGCCTCAGCAGCGTTTTTCTCTAAATTTGAAATTTCAGACTTGTAAAGGTGGTTCTTAGCTTCATTCTTGCTAAGTTTGAAGGAAATCTCTTCGACAGTTTTTTTGTGAAGTGTTCATGAAATTTTGGCAACTTAGCTTTATTTATTTAACAAGCCGTGATTAGCTCGCTTTGCGAGCTGACACGCCTAGCCGGGGAGTGCCCCTGGACCCATTTAATTGCGACTCACTCCGCGAGCGGCCATTGCCCCACATAGTTTTTAACATTATTAAGAAGCCAACATCTTCGTCTTCATCTTCTTGTTCACCAATTTTCACAGAAATCGATGTTCCAGGAGCCGAGACAGCAATATAGAGCGCGGCCACCACCTTCGATTTCGAAACGTCGAAAATCAGACCAAAACTTCGAGTTTCTCGTTAAAAAATACCCCTTGACTTCGAATTTCACGAAAATTGATCGAAGTAAAGCCAAGATAGCATAAGTATTTGGCCACGGCTGCGATCTTGGATTTTAAAATTAATGAAATCTGACCAAAAATTCGAGTTTCCCGTCGAAAAAAACCCTCTCATGCCGAGTTTCACGAAAATCGATTGAACAGGAACCGAAAAAGTATTTTAGGTCAGGGCCACCATCTTGGATGTTTGAATTTTGAAAATCTGTTCAATAATAATTCAAGTTCCCCGTCGAAATACACCCCCTAGTACTGAATTTCACAAAAATCGATGGATCAGGAGCCGAGATAGCATTGTAGGCCACGGCCGCCAGCTGGGGGTTTGAAATTTTGAAAATCTGACCAAATATTCGAGTTTCCCGTCGAAGAATACCTCCGGTTACCGAGTTTCAGGAAAATCGATCGAACAGGAGCTGACTTGGCATTTAAGGCAACGGCCGCCATCTTGGATTTTGAAAATATGACCAAAAATTCGAGTTTCCCGTCGAAAAATACGGCGTGCCACTAATTTTCAACAAAATCCGTCGAAAAATATCCCTAAAGCCTGAAATCTCGTCCATAATGCTGTAACGTCCCTCGTTTCATTTAAATCCCTCTGTTACCACCCTTTCACCGGGTGTCTCCTGTGTTTCCTTTTAGGATTAATCCAATCAAGCATCTGCTGTAGTACTCTTTCATCCCTCATCCTGCCAACATGATCATACCAGATGAGCTGTCTGGTCATGATGTTGAAGTTGAATATGGTGTCATTTTTGACTTCCATTATCTGACGCACTTTATCACTACGGACCCAATCTCATCCAGGAATTCCTACCCACCTTCTTCAGAAATCCATCTATGTTGCTCGTAGCATATCCTATGTCCGTTTCTTCACCGAACTTCACATTTATTTGTTAAGGTACTTTTCACCACATTGTTATGAATTCCCCTCTTGTTCTTTTTTGAATTGACTTAAATTAAATATCTTGTTTTTCAATTTTCAGTTCAAGGAGTTTCAAAATCGGAAACAAAGGAAAGATGTTATGCCAGAGCTGACCAATGTAAAGCAATCTGTTAACAATGAACTGCCAAGAAGTTTACTACCCCCTGTTTTGAGCAAGAATGGAGTTAGTTAATCTCAGTTTTCTTAGTTTGTATTTTTTATAATAGCCGCAGGCAATATTTTACATTTATTTTGTGATTCTAATACTAATGAATAGAATCTGCTGCTGATCACCCATTAAGGACTTGGTGACCACGGTATAGGGGAGATAGAAGTGAGACTAAGTAATGGCCAATTCCTGCGAATATCACCCCATTAAATAGTGACATGGTGTTCGTGCGTTGAGGTAAATGTGTTTTGATTTGGAAGGAAATTGTGCAGAATCTTTTTCTCATGGGCTCATCCAATTTTATTGTAGTTTCCTCCTACTGAATCGATTACACCCAACAGTATGGTCCTAGAAATTTATTGCTGAGCCACCTATAAGTGCAAGGCACGAAATTGATGCTCAAGACTTGCTCTTACTTAATTCAAAACAAAAGATGAGGAAAACATGGGAAAATGAAAGGATAATCTACTCCGGGAGAACATTTTGAATTTTACTTTGGAGAACGCGACAATAGAGCAAAGCCAACCTGACAAGCCCAAACTCCCCCTAACTTCAACTTTGACCAATCTAGGATCACATACTACTACAAAAGTTGAATTGTGACTGACAAATTCAATCCTGGAAGGTTTGTGATTTTGTCCTGCCAGCTTGTCTCTTGTTTTTTTGTTTGTGAATCCCGTCTTTGCCATCCCATGGAGTAAGTACGAAATCTTATAATAAGTGTTTAATGAGCAAGAATTTCAACTTACTTGAATAGGTGGTAACAATAAAATATCTTCTTGCCCTTTGAAGGCGCACAATGAGTTAGGCCAGCAGAATGTTCCCCAACTTGCATCATGTCTTCTGATCCAGCGTTTATTCCCCCTGTTGAGTTAAATAACAACATTGAAATTCACTAGGAAATAATTGGATTATTATTTATAATCATCACATGTTGACAGTGTAGAAAAGAATGAAAACTGACATCTAACCTAGAAGTATTAGTATCAGCAGTTTTGACTTGACATTCTCCCCCCATAAGCTTTGCTCATAAGAGTTGTTAAGAATATCGAAATATTGTAATTAAAGCATGTCATTCATTTTAACTGTGATTAGTTAGTATATATCCAATTCTTGAGTGTTCTGTATCTTCATCTTTGGACTGAGGAATTGGGCTATTGAGCACGCCTTCGTTAGACCATCTGAGTTTCACCACATCGGGGGCAGATGCTCTTCTTCACAAACAGTATACTGTTTCTATCCAAATGTTGTCCTGATTCTTGTCATCATTTTGAAAATGTTTAGCTGTCTCATCCCAATTTCTCACTTGGCTATGATCTTGAAGCGACGACGCCAGGGGTAATGCCATTAAATTCTGCTTATCTGCGGGAATTCCAGGTACCTCTAAAGGAGATTCTACATGGTTAAACCTCAATTTATTTGATGAACTGAGAACGCATCATCTGCCGTACTTTTCTGAATAAAACAAGTAAAGTGAGACAAATTTGAAGTGAACCTCAGGGACATTTTCATTTTATGAAGCTCATCATTTACAGGGAATACTGCCTCATTAAAAACCTTAACCACATGAAAAACCATTGGACAAAAACATTGGCAAGGGAAAACGAGTGCAGTGTATGGTTCATAGTTTGACAGCTTTTTTTTCTTGAAGGCAGAAGAATTCTGTCCTGATCAATTGGTGAAAGAAGAAGAATTTAGTAATCAGTGGCACTACTGCTTCAAATAATAAAAAAAAAAAAATAACAATTTTTATGTAGTGATAAAATGCTTAAAAACTTAAATGTTTGTGTACTAGGTATGCATTTTAATTTCTAGGTGGACAATCCCTTAAACCATATTTCAGGCACGGAAAAAGAACCAAACCAAGAAACACCCCCCTTTTCAACCTCTCATTTTTGCAACTCCTCAATACCTGCCAATGATGTTTTTGAAGCCCATCATGCAGGCCCAAATAGGATTCATCAATGCTTTAACAGTTCGCGTCATGGTGCCACAGTAGAAGATCTTAGGCACACAGGACCTCAATCACTACTACCTGGTAAGGACCCGTTACGGCCTTTCAATGCAGAAAAAAAGATCTGAGTGGAAGAAGGGGAGATAGAAATGAGAAAAAACTGAGGAACCTCAATGTACTTTTGCAATGTTTTCCTGTCTCCTCCTTCTCTCCTACGATTTAAAAGGAAAATTCACTTTTGATAGGATTGAAAGTGTATCCTGGGATAAGCATGTCAAAATGCCCTTGTGAATGGATTTTTATTTCACCATTTTAAGTCATCAAGGGTGTCCGAAAACTTAGGTTTTGAAAGATTTTAGTCCCCCAACCTCCTCCAACCCCATCAGACCCCCAAAGACAGCTTTTATGGGCTATTTTTAGCTTAGCTTTCCAAGAAGTACTTAATTTTTTTATTTGGTGCACAGATTTGGGAGTCACGCCATTTTTCCGCTTCCGACTCTTACAGCTGCAAGTCCAAAAATATTTGTGTGCTGTGGAATGCTCTTTGCTTGACACTTTCTTGTAATTCTATAAATAAGCTGCTCAATTTCAATGGAAAAATAATTGTCGATTGATTAGGTAATTCTACCAAAAATAATTATTAGAGGCACAATATTTTAGAAATTTGGATTAAAGAAAATTCGACGGAAAGCAGAGTGAACCACTGCAGACTATAAGACTCGAACAAACAAGGCTGAATGTGAAACTACAACTAAGATGAAGTGAGCCTCATGTGACTAATATATTTCAATAAAATGTTGGATATAATGATAAGTAAAAAGGGTATCCCGAGATAAGCATGCTAAAATTCCCTTGCGAATGGATTTTTATTTCACCATTTTAAGTCATCAAGGGTGTCCGAAAACTTAGGTTTTGAAAGATTTTAGTCCCCCAACCTCCTCCAACCCCATCAGACCCCCAAAGACAGCTTTTATGGGCTATTTTTGACTATGTCAACCTCTTTTCTCCCTATATTTCGTAATCTCTGATAGAATTGAACCAAAATTTGTCAGAATCTACATCAATCAGCTTAGTTTTTATAAAAAAAATTCATTGTCATCGGATAATATTTTAGCTTCTAAAAAAAATCGTAAAATTTTAAACATTTTCATTTGTTTCCTTTTTTCGTGGCTAGGAGACGTATGGAAACGAGGACACAACCAAAAAATATCCCTCTTCATAAATTATACATCCAATAAGTTACAGAAAAAATTTTGTGTTGATCAGAGTGATGCACAACATAAAAACTCAATTTTCTGTCCTCAAACCGGTCTAATAACCACCATACCCTCCTTTGATGACTAGGTGTTTAGGAATGAAGAGAGAAACATTAGGTTTCATTGTCTGACCACTTAGGTGATCCACTTCAGTAGCTTGAGTCAAAATTTCGTGTTGATCGGAATGGTGCTCAACACCTAAGACTGCAATTTTCTAACCTCAAAACGCCCAAAATATCTAAATCAGCACCCATTATCACTCCGTGTGAAAAAAAAGGGAGGTACATCCGATCGTATTGACCTACCTTATGAGTTAAACACTGAAGTACCTTGAGTCAAAAGGACTATGTGCAAAACGGGCCATTTGGGGCTCGGGGCGGATACCTTTAAGACTTGCCCTATTCATTCACCTAACAATCCCCCATCTTTCCCCAAAGTTTCAAGCCCCCCAAAAATTTTGGGGTGACGCGGCGGGGGGTCAAAGTTAAAAACCGGAAAAATTTCGCGAATTTATTACTCGAAAACCC